CGTCCCCCACCCCGGGGACGGAGCGCCCAAAGGTGCTGAAGGGGGACGAAGGGGAGTGGGGAAGGCAGAGGGTGGGTTTCAGCCCCCTCTCGCCCCCCCAGTGACCCCAGCCCAGCAGGAGGGGAGTTCCCCCCCCCCTCAGTGGTCGCTGAAGCCGGGCATGGGGAAGGCACGAGCGAAGGTCTCGACGCGCTGGCGGAGGTCGCGCAGGCGCCGCTGCGTCTCGGGGTCCTGCAGCAGGAAGGTCTTGAAGTCCTGGAGCTTACCTGGGGGCGGGAGGGGGGCAGGTGAGGAGTGGGGGGACCCCACAGCAGCCCCGTCCCTGCCCAGGCACCCGCAGGGGAAGCTCCACCAGGCTGGGGAGCAGGGCTGGCACCAGAGCGGGGCACAGCCCCCGTGCCCCCATGGAGTAAGGGGGTTCCCCCCAGGAAAGGGGCAACAGGGAGAGATGGGGGGAGGAGAAACAGCCCCCCCACTCACTGGTTTTGCTCTTGACGTCCAGGGCCAGCATGATGCCCTCGTCGATGAACTCCACGACCTTCTGGAAATCCTCCTCGCGGAAGTGGCGGGAGGTCAGCGCGGGGGCACCTGGGGATGGAGCCCGTCAGGGCCGGGACCACTGTGGGGCAGCGGCCCCCAAGGGCTCCCCAAAACCCCCCACGGGCTCCCCAAAACCCCCCACGGGCTCCCCAAATCCCCCAAAGGAGCTCCCCAAACCCCCTCATGGGCTCCCCAAACCCCCCAAAGGAGCTCCCCAAACCCCCCCAAGGAGCTCCCCAGCTGCCAGCCCCCATGGGGTCCTCAGAGAAGGGTGGAACAGTGGGGATGCCCTGGGGCAAAAGCCTGAGGACCCCCCACCCCTAGGCTGGCAGGAAGCCCCCCCGCAGGGCCCGTCCCTCACCCAGGCGCAGCCCCCCCGGGGTCAGGGCGCTCTTGTCCCCCGGGCACGTGTTCTTGTTGGCGGTGATGGACACGAGCTCCAGCACCCGCTCCGCCCGCGCCCCGTCGATGCCCTTGGGCCGCAGATCCACCAGCACCAGGTGGTTGTCGGTGCCACCTGGAGAGCGAGGCAAGAGGGGTGAGGACCCCCGAGCACCCCCAGCCCTCCCCTTGCCGCCCTTCCCCTGCTCTGCCTGTTCTGCCTCACCCCTCCCCAGCCCACCGAGCAGGGCCATCGTCCCTCCTCGTGCCCGAGGGCCAGAGCATTACCTGACACCAGGGTGTACCCACGCTGCAGCAGCGCCTGGGCCATGGCCTTGGCGTTCCTCAGCACCTGCTGGCAGTACTCCCGGAAAGCCGGGGAGCTGGCCTGGGAGCGAGGGGACACCCCGTCAGTGCGGGGCCCGGGTCACCCCCCGCCCCGAGCCCCCCGCCCCGGCACGGACCTGTTTGAGGGCCACGGCCACGGCGGCGATGGCGTGGTTGTGGGGGCCCCCTTGCAGGGAGGGGAACACGGAGAAGTTGATCCTGTCCTCCAGGTCGTAGAGCGTCTCCTTCCCCGTCTTCTTATCCACGGAGCGCACGCCCTTGCGGTAGAAGATCAATCCCGACCTGGGGGCGAGAGGCGCTGGCACCGCCGCTCCCGCTGTCACCCCGCAGGACACCCCCTGGGGCAGCTCCCTCCCCAGGGAACACCCCCCCCCGGAGCACGGCAGGCGCTCGCAGCCCCACCTGGCGCCGCGCAGGGTCTTGTGGGTGGTGCTGGTGACGACGTCGGCGTGCTCGAAGGGCGAGGGGATGGCCTTGGCCGCCACCAGCCCGCTGATGTGAGCCATGTCCGCCAGCAGGTACGCCTTGACCTCCTCGCACACCTGGGGACACCGCGGTCACCCCCTGTGCCTGTTCCCTGCCCCCTGCGGCCCCCAGAACCCCTCCAGCACCTTCTTCATGCGGGCGTAGTCAATGAGCCGGGCGTAGGCGCTGGTGCCCGCGATGAGCAGCCGCGGACGGAAGAGCCGCGCCGTCACCTCCAGCTGGTCGTAGTCGATCAGCCCCGTGGCCGGCTGCGAGGGACAGACAGACAGACAGACAAGAAAGCTCAGTCAGCCCGGGAAGGGATGGACAGGCAGACAGACAGCTCGCCAAGGCACCCCTTTGCCCCCCAGCTCCAAGCACGGCACCTGTGGCTGAACCACGGGCACCTCCTGAGCCACAGCCCCCCCCTTCCCCCCAGATCCTGCCCCTCAGCTCACATCAAGCTTGTAGGGCATCGACTCGAAGAAGATGGAGGTGGCCGAGATCCTCTTGACGTCGGACATGTACCCGTGGGTGAGGCTGCGGGGAAGGTGTGGGGTGAGCCCGGGACCCCCGGGAGGCAGCGGGTTCCAGGCCCCCCCCAGCCCCCCACTTACTGGCCCCCGTCGGGCAGGTCCAGCCCCATCAGGCGGTCGTGGGGCTGCAGCAGGGCCGTGTAGGCGGCGAAGTTGGCCGGGGACCCCGAGTAGGGCTGGACGTTGACGCCCCAGCGCGCGGGGTCCAGGTCGAACGCCTCGAGCGCCCGCTGCTCGCACAGCAGCTCGATCTGATCCACCACCTCGGCCCCCCCGTAGTACCTGGGGGGGACGGGACGGGGTGATGGGGGCTCCCCCTGCCAGCCCCGCCGTGGGGGAATCCCTCCTGCAGCTCAGTCCTGGCTGCAGAGGGACCCCTGATGCCCCCCCAGCCCATCCCCGCTTTACCTCTTCCCAGGATAGCCCTCCGAGTACTTGTTGTTGAGGCAGGAGCCCAGGGCTTCCAGCGCCGCCCGGCTGCAGAAATTCTGGAGGGGAACTGGGGGTCAGAGTTGGAGCTGCCAACCCAATTGGGGGTCAGAGTTGGAGCTGCCAACCCAACCCCCCTTCCCTGAGCAGGGGTCCCCTGGGCCCGGCCCCCACCTCAGAGGCGATGAGCTCCAGCCCCCGGCACTGCCGATCCTTCTCCTTCTGCACCAGGCTCCAGATCTCGGGGTCGCTCTCGGCCAGGCTCTCCTGCCCCGTCCAGCCGGGCACCTGCCTGGTGGCGGCGGCGGCGGAGCCGTGCTGTGCCCGCTGGCTGCCGGGGCCCACCCGGCCCCCCCATCGCTGCAGGGTCTGCACAGGGAGGGGGGGACAGGCTGTGACCCCACATGGGGGGTGCTGGACACCCCCCTACCCTCCCAGACCTGCAGGTGACAGGGGGAGGAGCAAGACCCACAAATTCTGCCTCCGGTCACCGGTGTCACCCGCCAAGGTGGGCACATGGGGGAACTCCAAGGTCCTCATAAGGCCCATGGGGACCCCTCCAAGCTCCCCACAGGGTACATGGAGACCCCCAGGGACCCCACCAAGCACACGGGGACCCTCCCAAGGTTCCTACAAGACACATGGGGACTCTCAAAGACCCCAAAAGCACGTGAAGACCCCCAAGGACCCCATAAGGCACATGAGAACCCCCCACAGGGCACAGGGGGACCCCCCCAAGCCCACGTGCACCCCTGAACCCTCATCTACGGCCCCCCCTTCGTTGTACACGGGGGGTTGTGTCTGCCCTGCAGGACCCCTACCCCAGCGCCGTGCACAGCGAGGGGGGTCCCCGGTGCCCCCCTCACCCCGGTGCCGGGTGATGTAACCGCCGCCGCCCCATTGCATCACCCGCGGGGCCGCGGGCACCGGGCAGGGGCCAAGGCCGGTGGCTGTGGCTGTCCCGGCCCCGGGGACTTTGGGACAGACACAAAGTCCGCGAAGAGGGGTGGGGGGGGGGGACGGGACCGTTCGGGGGACACGACACCGGGACGGGGGTGTCGGTGCCCAACCGGGGGCGAGGGCGGTGGGGAGGACCGGGATGGAGTTGGGACCCCCGGGGGCGCGGGAGGGGGGAGGAAGGGGTACATGGGGGGCGAACAACTGGGCATCGGGACCCCTCCCAACATCCCCCATTGGGGACCGGGACGCGCCGGTGATCGGGACCCGTGTGAGCACCGGGAGACACCGGGGACCGGAGTACCCTGCGGGCACCGGGACCCCTGCGAGCTCCGGGGCTCCCCCGGGGTACTGGGACCCCCTCGCCAGGGATCCGAGACCCCTGCGGGCCCCGGGATTCACCGGGCCCCGGGAACCCGAGCGGGCCCTCCCCTACCGGGCACCGGGACCCGCCCCCCGGGCACCGGGACCCCCGCGAGCACCGGCAGACCCCGGGGACCGGAGTGCCCGGCGCGCACCGGGACCCACGCGGGATGTGGGAACCCTTACCGGGGACCGGGACCCCCCCCCCCAACCCCCGGGGACCGGCCCCCCGTGCCCCCGGCGGGGCTCACCCTGCCCAGGCGGAGCGGCCACATCTCGGTCCGCGCTGCACGTGGGTCCCGGCCGGGTCCCGGTCCCGGTCCCGGCCCCGGTGCCCGCTTGGCCCCGCCCCCTCGCGCGCTGCCGGGGGGGGCGGAGCCACCGGGGCCGACGGGAAACTGGAGGTCCAACACCCCACCCTCCTTCTTTCGCTGGACCGGGGTCATCCCTGTACCCCCCCATCCCCAATCCCGGGGGTCCCCCATCCCTGCTCCCCCCCTCCTCCATCCCTGGTCGGGGAGGATCAACACACTTTTTTCTTTTTTTTTTTTTTTTTCTTTTTTCTCCCATTTTTTCTTTATTTTCCACTTTTTTTTTTTCATTTTTAATTTTCTTTTAAAAAAAAAATGATGAAGAAGCCCCTTCCCGAGGTGGGGGGGGGGGTGACACAGCAGCCCCTGGGGACTCCCCTCCCCACTGCGTCCCTGACCCCCGCATGGCACTTCTTCATGGCATGGGATGGGGGGGCTGCACACAAGGAAGGGACCCCCATGGAGGGGGGTGGTCCATGGGACACCGGGGGCTCAGCTGTGGCACTGGAGCAGGGCCAGTGTTGGGAGGGGGGGGCTCCAAAATACCTGGGTGGGCCCTTGCATACACACACGTGCACGGCTGTAGGACTGCAGAGAGACAAAAGCCCCCCCCAGTGTATGGGGTGAGGACTGAGACCCCCCCTCAGCACCCTGACCTACCCCCCGTGACACCCCGGAGATGCCATCGCATGGGGTGGAACCCCTCAGCTCACCCCCACACCCCCAGGGGTCCCAGCCCAGCCCCCAGCATGGGGGGGCTCCGTGCCTGCAACCCCTGAGCTGCAGGGATGGGATTTCAGTGGGTAGGGGGGGCCGGGACCCCCAGCACCAGTTGTACCCCAGGAGGGCGCAGGGGTGCTGCAGTGAGGGGGTTTCACTGGGTGGGGGGGTCTCAGTGGGTGGGGGGCTGTACCCCCAGCACCAGCTGTCCCATAACACAGCACAGAGATGCTCCAATGACCAAGGGGGGGGCTGGTGTGGGGGTCACGGGGGGCACCGAGCCGCTGTGAGGGGGGCACAGCACCACCCCCAGCCCCCCTTCCCTCCCCTCCCCCCCCACCTCCCGCTGCGGCGCCGTCAGCCGAAGTAGGGGTTGTCGTGCTGGAAGTTGTAGTCGGGACAGACCTTCTGCACCAGCTTGTAGTCGATGCTGAGGAAGGAGATGAAGATGCAGATGACCTTGAAGGGCTTGGCGCAGAGCCAGGCCGCGTGGCTCTGCGTGTGCTCGGTGAAGCACACCTTGGACGGGTCGTACAGGCACGGCTTGTTCTTGCGCGCCCGGTTCGTCTTCTCGTACTCCACGTGGCAGTTGAGCGCCTTGGCCGGGCGCCCCTCGGGCAGGGTGCTCTGCTGGGGGGGCGGCGGCGGGCGCGGGAGCTGGGGGGGGCCGGGCACCAGCACCTCGAAGCCCACCGCCTTGGAGGGGGGCACGATGCTGACCGAGACGTTGCCCAGGCTGGAGGAGTTGTGTCGGAAGTAGACGCTGAAGGTGCCGTTGATGTGGTCGACGATCTTGCCCGTCACCAGCAGGCTGAACTTGAGCGTCTTGATGTTGAAGTAGAAGTCTCCCCAGCCGAAGATCTTCTTGGTGCGGCTGGACTTGAGGGTGGGCTTGCGGTGGGCGCGGGGGCTGGGCGGCTCCCCGGCCGTCTGGTTCTTCTGCCAGTCCCAGGGGCTCCGGCCGGCGCCCGTGGGCGTCCCCGCACCCCGCGGGGGCTCTGCCGGAATCAGCCGCCCGGGGTCGAGCGCCGGGGGCTTCAGGGTGCCATAGGGGACGTCCTTGAGGAGGCCGGAGGTGCCCAGCTCCAGGTAGCCCAGGGTCTTGGCGATGTGACCCCCGGCACACACCGTCTGGGGGGGAGAGGGCAGAGACTGCACGAGCTGTGCCTGCGTCCTCCTCCTCACCCTCCCACCCGCGCCCTCACCATCCTCCTGCCAGCATCCCCCTCCTCATCCTCCTCCCCGTGCCCCTCCTCATCCTCCTGCCTGCAGCAGCTGGGCCGGGACCGCAGCGTCCCCTTCCCGAGGCTCGCCGGGTCACTGGTTTGGGCACCAGCGAGCAGAGCCAGCTGCCATCCCCAGCCTGGGACCCCAACTCTGACATGCCTCCTGTCCCTCACCCCCTACCCAGCTGCTCCCCCGTGCCCCCATCCCTCATCCCGCCGCTCCCGGGGTGCCCGCTGTGCCCTCCTGCCCTGCCAGCTGCTCCGGAGTCCAGGATGCTGCTCCGGCCTCGTCAATCACTGTCACCCTGAGCTGGCAGGTGCTCCGCTGCTCCGGCAGCTCCTGCTCTGGATGACCTGCATCCCGGGGGGAAGGTGGGAGGGGGGAGCAGGAGCAGAGGCACCAGCTGGAGGGGCTGGGGGAGCGTGGGGGGCTGCACTCCCACAGGGAGCTGAGGTGGGCCTGGGGAATGGCTCCAGCTCATCCCAGTGTCACCCACCCTGCAATGTTTCCTGCTTGGGAATGATCTCCATCGGGAATGATGGGGGTCCCATGACCCTGCTCAGAGAGGGGGAAGCCCCCCAGGCCCCCTTCTCCATGGCCAGGTGGGGCTGTGTGTGTGGGGTCTCTGCCTGGGCACTCCCCAGAGGTGAAACAGCACTATGGGGGGGCCCAACCATGGTCCCCCACACTTGGTGTCGAGCTGGGGGCTCCATCCAATCCATCCCTGGGGTCCATCACCTCGTCCCCCCCGTTGTGTGCCAGGCTGAGCCCCTAAATCTGCTCTGGCACGTGCCACACAGGAGGGAGGAACCCTGGGCAGGCACAGGCAGCTCCACGGGGCTGTGGGAAGGGGATTTTGGGGGGGCGGGAGGGGACAGGGTGTGCGGTGCAGAGCTGTGGCTCAGCTTCCATCCCCGCTCCCCCCGGCCTGGCCAGCCCCCCACTCCCCCCGGCCTGGCCAGCCCCCCGCTCCCCCCGGCTCTCTCCGAGCGCCGCTGCTGCCTTCTCCCTTATCTATATTTCAACGCAGCTTCAAAGCCCGGCTCCTTTGCCAGCCAGAGAGGGGGGGCACGCCCGGGATGGCAAGATAAGGGGAGGAGGGGGAGAGGGGCACCCCCAGGCTGGGAGAGACGCATTTTGGGCAGGGGGGGTGGTTGCAGCTCCTCCCCCTGCACCCCCAGCTCTGCTCCGTCCCTCCATCCATCAGACCTGGAGCCCCTCACATCCCACCCTGGGGAGTCCGAGGGGCACCAGCGACCCCACAGCTGGGAGCCCCCCAAACCTGCCTCCACCCACAGCGAGGGCCCAGGGCCTGCAGCCCGCAGGGAACACAGGCAGAGCAGCACACGCTGCCGAGCCCCCACCACTGGGAAGGATTTCTGGAGGTTTCCGAGCTCTGTGCTGGATTTCCATCGCAGCCAGGGCTGGGAGCCAGGGCCCGTCCCCAGCAGCACTGCAGGCACCTGCACCCTCCTCCCCTGCCTCAGTTTCCCTTTTCAATCCCCCCCTCCCCACGATCCCCTGCAGGGGTGAGTGGGATGGGGTGGGATGGGATGGGATGGGATGGGATGGGATGGGATGGGATGGGATGGGATGGGATGGGATGGGATGGGATGGGAATGGGCTGTGATGGGAATTGATGGAGACAGTGATGCAGGGACAGGGAAGGGACAGGGACGGGCAGGCAGTGGGGAGGGGATGCAGTGGGAGCAGGGGAGATGGGCACTGGCAGCGACCCCCTCTAGTCCTGGGACCTGCAGATCCCCAAGCCAGACTGGTGCAGGGGGTGCAGGAGATGGAGCTGGGGACCGGGGGGGCACAGACTGTGAATGGGCAGAGGGAACAGCCCCCACCCCTGCAGTACCCCCAGCCCCTGCTGGCGAGGGACCAGGCTGGCAGCCCCCCAACCCGTCCAGTCCCTCCTCAGGAGCTGCTGGGGGAGCGGGGGATGAAAGGGAATTGCAGAGCAGGGCAGCGGCTGCGATGCAGCCAGGGCGATCGATCGCGGCACCGGCGCAGTCCGGGGGCGTGGGGGGACCCTCGCTGCCCGCAGCCCCTGCTGAGCCCTGGCACGGGCCGGTCGGGGGGGCTCAGAGACTGCAGGAGAGGGGCAGGGACGAGTGGGGCCACGGGCACCTCACCCCCGGCAGTGCCAAGGGGGGCCAAGGTCACCCCCCTGCGCCCTGGCAGCGCTGTCGGAATGCAGGGCAGGTCCCGGACACCTCGCGTTAAATATTAATGCTCCTGCCGTGCCGTTGGGGTGCAGCTGCACACACGTGCCCCTGAACCTCCTGACACGCGTTGTGGGTGCGCAGGGGGGTCCCAGTGCCAGCCCCTCCCTCCCTGCCCGCACCAGGACCTGTGCCATGCCTGGCCCTGTGGTGTTCGGGGCTGTGCTGGCACACACCGGTCACCCCGGTGTGCCTGAGATGGTTGTTTGTTACTGTCGCATGTGCTACCCCATCTACACATCCGTGCTGTTCCCCTCCTCATCCTCCTGCCTGCGCCCTCCTCCTCCTCACCATCCCCATGGCATCGTTCAGTGCCTTTAGCTGCTCTCCAGCCCCTCGTGTGCCCTTCTGTGCCCCCACGGCACCGCAGTCCACGGGCACCAGGTGTCACGCCCCCCCACAGGGAGCCAGGCAAGGATGTGGGAAGGGCTGGATGTGGCTGCAGAGGGACCGGGAAGGCTCTGGGTGCCGGCATCAATTTGGCTCGTCAGGCCCAGCGGTGATGGCCACTCACATCCCATTTGCTGCTGGGGCCGAGCGCCGTCAGCTGCTCCCCCGAGACCCTCGGTCACCTTGGCGGAGGGGAGAGGAGCAGCATGGGGGGAGCAGCTGCCCTGGTGTGGGCTGGGATGAGCTCCAGCAGCTCCAGAGCGGGGCTGGGAGTGGTGGGGCACAAGCTCAAGGCAAAACAGCCCCTGCCAGCAGCAGGAGCAGAGTGACACCCCTCAACAGAGGCAGGGTCTCTACCGCCAGCCTGGCCCTGTCCCCACTGCGTGCCTGTCCCTGTGCCCACCGCCAGCTTGTCCCCATCCCTACCACCAGCCTGGCCCCATCCCCATCCCCATCCCCATCCCCATCCCCATCCCCATCCCGTCCCCCCCCTTCCTCAGCAGGGACCACCAGCAGCACTGTCACCGCTCCGCTGCTCGGGCTGTCCCGCTCTGCCCGTGGGCTCGGGGTCAATCCTGCCTCTCCCCTGCCACCCCACCTCTCCCCCTGTCACCCCGGCGCCTTCGTTAGCGCGAGGAGATTAATTGGAGGTGGTGAGCGACAATCCCCGCGGGGCCGCTCCCCCCGGCGCGCGCAGCCCGGGGCGCCGTGGCATTTCCAAAGGTTAGCAGCAAACAAGGTGCCTCTGACAGCTCCCATTTATCTCCCGGCGCCGCGCGGGTGCTAATGCGGTGCCGGGTGCCGCGCTGGGCTCCGCGGGGCTGCGGGGAGGGGACCCGGCGTGCCCGGGCGTGTCCGAGCGGCCGCGCGTGGGTGAGAGCTCAGGGTTAGGTGCTCCCGAGCCTTAGGGGAGCGTGTGCGCGGCTCTGGGGTGAGGGTGTGGGTGCCACGGGTGTGCACCCAGGTCACCTCTGCGCCCGGGTGAAGGCAGCATACGCCAGCGGGTGCTCCCGTGCTGCTCCACGTGCGGCTGGGTGTGTGCACCGACACCTCCACTCGCACACGCACTGTGACACACGCAGGGTGACAAACGCACGCGTGGAGCGAGGTCCTTGGTGTGGCTGCACATCCTGGGTGACGCATTCCCACACCCCCTGTGTGCCCACCCCTGTCCCTGCCACCAGCCCGTCCCCATCCCCATGGTCAGACTGTCCCTGTCCCCACCACCAGCCTGTCCTGGCAGGGGGGTGGCTGTGCTGCTGCCACCCTGAGCTGCGAGTGACAGTCCTGGGGAGCCCTTGGTGCCAGGGCAAGGGGCTGATGTGCTGCTGGGCACCCCTGGGCTGGCAGCGGGGTGCTGGAGACCCCCAGACCAGAAAAGGCATCCCCAGCACTGGGATGGATGAACCCGACACCAGCAGCTCCTCGGCCAGCGGAGAGCCCAGAGGAACTTGCCAAATCCAAATCCGAATCCACCGAACAATCCACTAAACCCACCGTGGGCTCCTCCCGTCTGTGCCACCTGTGTCCCCACGGGACCGCCCCGGGGTCCTGCTGGCGGTGACACCGGCGTGCCACTTGTCCCCTCCAGCAGGACCATGACCTGTGGGGCCAGGGGGGATTGGCTTCGGATCAGCTGTGCCTCCACCCCCCGAACAGACACCTCGCTCCTCGCCGACGGAAAAAATATGCAAATGCTGCAGCTTTATTAACGCGCTCGGCACGCGCTGGCTAATAAATATTTCATAGCCCGAGTAGGACTTTTTTTCTCCCTCCTCCTTCTTTCTTTCGTTTTGGTTCCTTTTCCCTGTCACTCGTTTCCTGCCTTTTCTTTCCTCAGCCGTTATTTTATTTATTTATTACTTTTAAGGGCTTCACGGTGAGGCAGGAGCTGGGAGGTGGTGGGTGGGGGGGGCCGGGAAAAATGTACGTCCCAAATCTCTCCCCCCACGGGTGGAAAAGGAAAGTGCTGTTAAGAGCAAAGGAAAAAATATAATAGAAGGGAGGAGACGGCAGCAGGCAAAGGATTCGAGGCTTGTGTGACTCATTGGGCTGGAGGAGAAAAGGGAATGAATGGGAAAACAGGAGATAAACGGAGCAGGAGGGGGAGAGGGGGTGCGGATGGGTGGGCAGCAACCAGCGGTGAGGGGACACGGGGGCGGTGGGTGATGGGGACACGTGGCTCCAGGTGTCCATCATCCAGCCAGAGGCCAGAGGGCCTGGAAACCCCCCTAGATTGGCCTCAGAGAGACACAGCCCCACCTGAGGGTCACTGGGGAGGGG